CGGGGTTCCGGGGCGGGGGGGAACGGCGCGGCGAGCCGCGTGTTGCTTTTTTTAAAAAAAAAAGGAAAAAGCTTTTTATTGTTTTTGGAAAAAGAATTGGTTTTGTTTCTATGTTTTACTTTTTTAAATAAACTTAGGGAGGGTTAAGCAAAAGTTCTTTCAGGCAGTTTCCGTTTTCGCAGGGGTAGGGCGGGGCGAGGTCTATTCTTTTTGGTTTGGATATCGCCTGTCCGCTGCAAAATGTCAACGATGCGGGTTACGCTTTGCCAGATGGCTGTCGGGAAGTCGAAGGCGGCTAATCTGGCGAAAGCTGTAGGAATGATAACCTCAGCAGCGAAAAGGGGTGCAAACCTTGCTGTTCTTCCAGAATGCTTCATGTGCCCTTATGGTACCAAGTATTTTGAAGAATACTCTGAGGAAGTGGGGCCGGGTTTTCCCACGTACGACGCAATTTCCAAGGTTGCCAAAGAAAACAATATCTGGGTGATAGCTGGCAGTATACCCGAGCGCTCAGATGAAAAGATATACAATTCTTGCATGGTTTTTGATTCAACTGGGAAGTTAAAGCATGTACATAGAAAAATACATTTGTTTCGAATTCGTACGGACACAGTCCGAATGGACGAAGGAGAAGTGCTTTCTGCAGGAAATACGGTTTCTTCCGTTTCCATGAATGACAAAATAAAATTTGGTGTGGGTATCTGCTTTGATGTAAGATATCCTCTACTTGCATGTAAGTACGCTCATGATGGAACTTCGCTTTTGGTTTATCCAGGTGCGTTCAACATGGTTACAGGTCCATTGCACTGGGAACTGTTGGCCAGAGCACGTGCTGTGGATAATCAACAGTTTGTTATCCTGTGTTCACCCGCGCGTGACTTGGATGCAGATTATGTTGCATGGGGTCATTCGATGGTTGTGGATCCTATGGGAAAGGTGATTGCTGACGCAAACGAATGTGAAGGCTACGTTGATGCTGAGCTGGATCTTGATTTAATTCAATCAACAAGAGAAACGATTCCCATTATCCATGGAACACGACATGATATGGTAAAGTTGTTTTGGAAATAATGATTCCAAGGAAATGTTTGCGTTATGTGTGAATTTGTTTTAATACCCTTCTACGCTTATATACATATATATATATATATATATATAAATGGATGTATTTTAGTGATACATTTTTTTTGAAATCTTAGGATGAATGTTTTGTTTTGTTTTTGCTTGCGTTACACTTCTTTTTTACCTGGATTTGATGGAACTTTGCATATTACATCTGTTTCCTTTTTCTCTATTATGTTTATTATATATATATATATATAATGCATATATACATTCTTTTCTGACTGTTCACTCTTGTCACAAAAAATCTATTGGAAATTATGTGTGGTGGGCGTTATTGGGCGTATTTTACTCGCTGTTCGGCGCCAATGCTGTATAAATTCTACTGAAGAGGTTAATACTGTAGATGACAGCGCTCAAATGACTTTTGAAGTTTGCGAAACCGAAATTAGTAATGAGACAAGACTTTCTCTGGAAAAAGGTCCAGAGTCTTTAGGTGATATCAAAAGCCACGATGTACATTCAGTTTCGGAGGAGGAGTATTTCTTTGTGGAAATGAATAGACTTCAACATTTTTTTTTTTTTACAGGAAGGTCCTTATATTGGTTCAAGAAAAAAAGATATAATGAAACACTCTGTGGATAAGCGTTGTCGTCGTCACATTGTCCGCGTACCTCAACCAGGGTGCGAATACCGTCCCAACGAAAAATCCTTCCGAAGATTGTCCAAAAATAGACGTATCACCAACGAATATGAACTTCGTGCATTATGTCCACATAGCACAGGTCTTACCTTAATAGAAGGAAAAGCTGCTCGTATCGATCACAGAGCATTTGATCCGGAAAAAGTTCCAGCACCAATGGCCTACAGTATGGTTACACCTCCAGATTGGCCCAAAGAAAGAGAATATCAATATATGGTGGCACCTCCTGATCATAGAGGTATTGGACGAGATTTTGAAGATATATGTGCCATTTTTTTTTTAACGCCCCATGCATCGTGAACTGATGCTTGAACAAAAACGGGTAGTCATTTCTCCAGTTATTAACCTTTGTCATAACTTTCAGATTCCAGTCGAGGCTATAATGGCTCGGTTTTGTGACTGGGTCATTGAGAACTTTGACGTTGAACATCGAAGAGTGCATATGTTTGGGAAAGGCAATGGAGCATATGTGGCTCTTCGCACAGTCATGGAATACAAGGAGGTGATAATTAGTGTGAACGCGATATTAGGTCGGTCAGGAACACCCTTTCGTCCTTTGAATCGTCCTCAAGACAAAGTGAGGAACTTCAGTGGGGTGCATTCTTTAGTCTTTGTTCCAAGTCTCTTACGAAAGCAGGACTGGTACTATAAGTTTATGATGAATATGGCACGCATTAAACCGGCCTTGAGAAATGTCCACTTTGCGGATGTTGGAGATCACCAGGTTTATTATGCTATTAATCCCTATGAATTTTGGAACCACATGAAGTATTTTGCCAACATAACATCAAAATGGTGACTGAGGGAGGTTATTGCGTTCACTGAGTAGCGTTTTTTTTTGTCTTTGTAGTTTGTGATAACACATTTTTTTCTTTTTTGCTTTTCAGTATCTCTTGTTATTGTTGTTGTTGTTTTTTTTTTGCCTTTCTGACCGGATTTATTTCTTTTTTTTTGTACGTTTTTACATGTTTGTGAATTGTTTTTGGTTATTTGTTTGTGCCGAACTCAACATCAATTGGGTGATACAAAAAGAAGGATAAAAATATGTTTTTGTTTTTAGTGTCAGCGTTACTGTCATGTTTTTATTTTATATTTTCTATGCTGTGGCACGTGTTGAAGGACTTTTTTTTTGTTTCACTACACCGTTTTTTTTTTTTTGGCAGCGTCTCTTTTATCTCTACGCCTGGTTTCTTTTGGTAATTGTGTGAGATATTGAGTAAAAGAAAGAAAGAAAAAGAGCTTTTATATTCATGACTTTTAGTGAGCGGGATGCAATACTCAATGACGAAGAGGAATGGGTGAACATTCCAACAGTGCTGCGACGTTTTCTTCGTCAGCTAAACAATGAACTGGAGAATAACCGCCTCAACTGCGATGCATTCTTGGAGAATCAGAAGGATCATGATCATCTAATAAAAGGGATATTGTCGAAGCAGTTGGAGCGGGAATTGGAAATGAAAAAAACGGAACTTACCTTGCAGCAGGAATGCCACGACGTCCAAACTTCCTTTTCTGGTGTCTTGGAGAGTATTCGTGCACAAGTACGTCATTTAAGTGAAGAGCAGCAACAGGTACGGGATCGCATTCGATTAATTGAAGGTCGGGAACATGACACTGTTGTATTGCATGATAGCGTACGTGAGGAATTAAAGGCTCTGCCTAAAACAATGAATCAACGTTCTATGGCGTTGGAGCGAATGATGAATAATACGTTTGAGGAGTTATCCAGTAGTGTTGAAGAGCTGAAAAAGAAAGTTGATTTAATTTCTGAAAGGCAGGGTGTTGGAGTGGTAGAGACCAGAAAGGAGTTGGAGGTCTCCAATGTGGCGTGGCGGCAACTCAGTGATGCAGTGTCCGAGGAGATGAAGAATCTTAGAGTTCAATTTAAGCACTACGAGGCTGACTTGAGGGAACTAAAATCGTTTCAAACTGAAAGTGAAGGGGAAAGTAGAAAACTTGCAAAGGCCTACACACATTTGCATGAAAAGATTCATGATAATTTGGGGATGGTAAAACAGTTGGAAACCTCTTCCGAGAGTCGTTTTGAAGCCGTTTTTAGTGCGCTGGATAAGTCACAGGTCTTGGCGGAGAAACTCTCTCGACTTCATCATAAACGAAAAGGGGATGAGGCCTCCTTGATGACGGTTGTGAAAAAGACGCAGGACATGTACAATGCCCTGACGGAGGATCTAAAAAAATCCTTTGTTATGCAGTCAACTCAACATAAAGCTGATTTTGAACGGCTGAATAGACGCATCGATGAGTTGTGCCAGTTTAAAGCTGAAGTAGACGCACTTGTGCATGAAAAGAATGAGGACATTATGCCACTTATCGAGGAGTTTCATCGCCGAATAGATTCCATAGAGTCCATGATACATACACCCAATCTGGCCGTGGAAATAGAACGTATTGCACAGGAACTGATAGCAAGCGAAAGGATGGGGCAGGAACGCAAATATACAGAGATTCATCAGTTCCTTTCACAGGAAAAAAATGCAGTTCAGGATGAGATTAAGAGTATCAGGACAACTGTAGGGCTTTTGGATGACAAGTGTGAAAGCACAATGAATCTTGTAAAAAAGCTGGAAATCATGGAAAATAATATACAGACATTAGGAAAGCAAGTAAGGGACTACGAGGAATCCATGGACTGTGTGCGTAAAGACCTGAGTGGTTTCACGATGGATGTTAAGACTCTTCAAGAGACGTGCCGCACAGGATTTTATGCGCATAATAATAATGATGCTTCTCATATCATGATAACTCAAGGGCAGGAAGCAGAAAAATATGTGCCAGAAGCGAAATTCTTTGAAATGAAAACTTCTGTAAGGCGAGCAGAAGAACAGTTGAATCTTCATACCGCCACGCTAACAGAGATGAAGCAACACATTTCACGGGTTGAACTTCTTGTCCGGGAGGTTCCCCGAACCTGCCAGCGTTACCAGGAGGCGCTAGATAAAAAGTTATCTCCAGCGTTGCTTCAATTGGAGGTGCTACAAAGGCGTATTGCATCCTTGGAGGTTAAACATGCAGCGGACGAGTCACGTGAGGGAATGCGCCAGACATTGACGACCCTTCCTGACGGTAGCGAACTTGAGGTTATGCGAGTGGGGGTTCGAAATGATCAGACTCTTCAATTCGCCCACCGAAAACTTCAGGAGGCGGATGTGCGACTAGATAGTTTTCAGCTTTTCTGCAACAAACTGGAGAGACGGATGGAGGAGTTGTCACGGGAAATTGCAGATGTCTCTAACAAAAATACGTCTTCTCAAAGGGACGAGGAACAGCAAGAAGGTGCTCTTCAAAATGAACTGAAACGAGTTTTGACGCAGGCGCAGGAACTGGAGGGCAAGGTGCGATTCTGCACAAAGGGCGTGGCATCAGGGGAACATTCTCTTCGGCTCCTGACTTGTGATGTGCGAGAATTAGAGGCTTCTGTTGCGAGGGTCTCTGAACTCATAGTAGCGCTTGAAAGATCTGTGAGCTCTTGCATCACTATCGACTCGGATGAATGGCGCAGTGTTCATAAGGTAATATCCAAGTTTTCAAGGTGTAAACTGAATCAGCGGCTGCGTAAACTAGAGAAGGAGTATGAAACCTTCAACCCGTTAGAACAGGTTCGGCTTGCGGAGGAGGCATTGTCTCAGATACGCAGCGAGCAACAGGCGTTCAAACAATACTTAGATGAAGTACAGGCGCTCATTTTACAGAAGTTGTCGGTGGAGACTCCTCAAGAAAGTCCTGATGATGTAAATCAACCGCGTTGTGCGCTGGAGGAACGTGTGAATGTCGTGGAGGCAGCTGTGAGTGAGCTACGGGCGAAGGAGTCGTCAGTATCACAATCCTTGCTCTCGTTGCCGTCGTTGGCAATGATGAGTGAGATCTCAGCCAAGTTGGCTGCCATGGGCGATCGATTGACAAGCATGGAGAGTGTGATTGCCACCATGCAGGGGCAGGAAGCGGATGCCGTGGCGGGGGTGAAGGATTCTGTGCTGCAGGAGCGTCTGTCTGCCTTGGAGAGTTTGATGGTGGCATGCCAGCGTGACATGGAGGAGAATTCCAGGCTTCTCATTGCCTGCCAGGGGCGCATGAACGAGCGGGAGGAGCGCCTCATGGGCGACGATTCGTCGGGGGGAGAAAAAGCAGCGGTGACAGTGCCAAGTAATGATGCTTTGGAGGGGGTGCTGGAGCGACTTCAACGGGTGGAGTTCACCACGCAGGAAACCCAAAAGCACATGTCTGACCAGGCGGAAGATGTCGAGCACCGTGTGAAGAGTTACGTGGACGCCCGTTTTGAAGGTTTTTGGAGGACAACGTTGGCTGCCACTACACGCAAAGCGGACCGCGAGGAGGTGGAGAATAAGGTGAAGGAGTTGCTGGATGGCTTGCGTGAGCACACCAGCTTGCAGCTAAACTCTTTGAAGCGTGAGTTGCAGTCTGTCATTGACGAGCGTGTCAGTATCACGGAGGTGCGGGAATTGCTTCAGGGCGGAAGAGAAAGCGCTGCATTGAGTGGGGTTGGATTCACATCAGGTGTGAGGGGGCCAGAGATGCGAGGTGGGGCCGCCAATGGTGGTTGAGTGAGTGACTAGTGATGACACGGGGATGGTAAACACCTTGTAGCTCTCCCTCCCTTTCTTTGCCTGTGCCCCTTCATTGAGAGAGAGAGGAGGTACACACCAACAACAAACTGCATAAAAAGGGGTAGGAATGGGTCGGAGGAGCAGAGGAGGAAAACAAAAGAAGATGGGACACGATGTGTTTGCTAAGGCGCGTCCCCTATTGTTGTAGCTATGGCTTCATATATATATATATATATGACTGATTATTATTATGGCTAGTATATCGCTTCTTCTTTGTGACGGTATTGTTTCCTGTATTTGAGAGTGAAAGGAAGGAGCACACACTAAAAACAACAACAAATAACAACAACAACGATATACGTGCACCTATTGTTATTATTATTGTCTGTGCTTAGCGTATTGTGCCTTGCCGGGTGTCTCGCTAGTGGTGTTAGCATTTGTGTATAGTTTTTTTATTTATTTTTGGTTTGTGCGCTTTGTTTGGTCACCATGTTTGGCAGGCGCATCTTTGGCAGTTCCACTATCCCGCGTGCCATGTACGCCACGTTGCACATCAACTCATCAATGCAGGCCCGTCGCATGCTACCAAGTCTCGTGCCGCTAACTTCCAGCATTACAGGCACCTCATGGGCGGTGATGCCGCTGGTACAGTGTACGTCGCCTTCCATGCCGGTGCTCGAGACGGCTGAAATGGACCCTGCGTTTCTGCACGATTTCTTGGAGACCATCTCTCCCGTGCGAGCAGGATTTTTAAACTTGCTTGAATTATGGGGCATCGGACGTATGGCGATGTCTGCAGGGGTATGGGCACAGGCCGCGTGAAGATGTGTGTGGTGTGTGAGCCCCTTCCTTGTTGAAACTGCGTTTGTAGGCGGTGCTTGCCGCTCTTGCAGGCGATGAGGGTGCTGGGAGAGGGTTCCACGTGTTTTCAGTGTCGGCGTAGGGAGAAGGACGTCACCTACTCAATTGAGGGGGACGTGAATGCAGGGGAGGAGGAGGAGAGATGAATACACGACACGCATGGCGGCCATAGGCATCACGACCTTTTTGAAGCGAACGGCGGGGCCAGCGAAAAGTGAGGAGTTGGGACGGGGTGGGGAAAAAAACAAAAAACGAGGGAAGAAATGAGGGAGAAATAGCGAACCATGCGGCGGCGTAACAAGCGTGTTTTTATGAAATATGTATGGTTGTTTTTATACTAATAGAGAAGGCCCAGAGGCGTAAACACCACCGGAGGAGGGGGAGGAGGCGGTATCGCAGACACGCAACAATCATGCATCATTACATACATCACTACTTACAAGCACACATATTTATATATTTCTTTGGATCAGGCGAAACGTTTTTTTTTTGTTTTGTTTTTCTTCTGCTGCCTCCGTTGCCTTTGTAGGTGCGTGCGTGCAGTGTGTGCATGCGATTTCTCTGCAGCCACCAACGTGTCTCGTACCCCCCACTTTTTTTTTTTTGCTTTTTGCAGTTGGTTGCGTGTTTTTTTTTCTTCTTAGAAACGGCGGTGGCCCCCTGACGCAGTTGGGTGTGGGGCGGCGGCGTGAGCGACACTAGAGGGAAGTGGCCCAGGCCTTTTCAGGCATTCCACGCACATTGCAAGCAACTAGCCAGAGATAGATAGATAGATAGAGAGAGTGAGAGGGCGGTGGCGCGGGTCTGCGGGAGAGCACGAGGATTGACAGCGACAGTTTTTTACGTGCTTTTCTTCCTTCCTGTTGCCGTTCTTGTTGTTGTTCTAATTTTCTTCTTCCTGATCGTAGGCGTTCCCCCTCTTTTTCTGCTCACTCTGCCCACGCACCGCTGTCGGCGAGTGGGATGCCCAACCCGTACATTGGAAACAGTGATGCGGCGCGTTACATCGAGTACTACGCCTCCCCTCGCATGCAGCGGGACGCCGTGCAGCGCCTCTACCACAAGGACATGCAACACCGCCAGGAGTCGCAGCGCCGCGCAGAGGAGGCGGTGTACCCGCCGCCGCCACGGATCTACCGCACCCAAAGGGAAATTGACGATTATGTGAACGCGATGGTCAACAAGGAGGTGTTTAGGCGGCAAAAGAAGTTGGCAGAGTTGGAGTGGGAGTTGTACCACCCCACACCCACGCGGTACTTCACGGAACAAGAAATGGAGCGGCATGTGCAGCACATGTACAACCAGCAGCTGCGTAAGCGCGAGCACCGGGAGCGGGAGAAGCAGCGACTTTTTGGCGTGACGCCCATTCAGAAGAAAGAGGCGCAGGAGCGAGCAAAGTTCCACGAGCTGGAGGACAACTGGCGGCCCTCGTCGCTGCATATAAAATACGAAGATGGGAAGCAACTACTTGTATCTGAGTTGGCTGCCCTCAACGCTGCCGCTGCACCATCACCTGCGACGCTGGAGCGAGAAACGCGTAGTCAGCGGCACGCCGATCCGGAACGACTGCGGTTGCTCGCACAGCCGTTGCGAGTGACGCCAAAGGTGCAGAAGGAGACAAAAGGGAATGCGCTGATGCCGCCATTTTGTCTCTTCGGGGATGTCATCAGAAGAGGTGAGAAGCGGCGGTGATGGCTGCGGCATTGACGTGCTTCTACCTCCCCGAATAGCACGAGACAAGCGGAAGCAACTCGACTCGAGGGACAAAGAGTGCCGCACATGTGTAAGTTTATCCCTCCATACATTAGAGAAAAGGAGGGGGGGATAAGATAAAAGCTGGGCGTGTCCATTTTGCGTGTGTGTGTTTTTTTTTTTTTTGCTTGGGTTGAGTGGGCTTCGTGTCTTAAGTGCTGTTTGTGCGTCTCCCTATTATATGTGTGTGTTCTCCCTTGGAATTGCATCAGAGACTATTTACTGGCGTCATCTCTAGAGTTTATTTTTATCTGCTTATGTGCATCCCCTTCAGTCAGCGTGTGGGTATCCACAGCATTGCTCTTTTTCACCCTTCCCTTCGCCCACTCCCTTTCGTGTCCCCTTTGGCCCATGCCGGCACGCGTAGATGCTGGCGCACGCCATTGCGGCTGCGTCATCACACCGTTTCATGTGCTCTTTTTTTTTGTTTTGTTTTCCTCCGCCCCACGCCTTCTTTCTCCCATGGAACTTACTTGCGGTACAGGAAACAGCGAGACTCTAACGGTGCTGTCGGAGAGTTCGCACGCGCCTGTGTGTGTGTCGAACTCCGTCGTGCAATAGAGCGGAGTCGCAAGAGGAGGAAAGGGAGCGACCCACGAGGCTAACGGGGGAGGCGAAGGCAGCGCCGAAAGGAAACAATAGCCCCCCTCCCCCTCCAAAAAAAAAAAGATTATTATTGGTATTGTTCTTGCTGCCCGTTTATCTGCATAGACATTTAGAGTTTTTTTTTCCTTGCCATTAACGATGGCGGGTCGCACCATAACGTCGATGTGCATCGTGGAGGAGGACTCCCCGACATCTCTGCTCGTTGGTCGAGAGGACGGCTCCATTGAGCTTTACGCCTCCAGCGACGCCGCGTGCTTCGGCAAGCCGCTGCTGACGCTGTACGGCCACACCAAGGCCGTCACAGCCTTCTTTGCCTCATTCCCTGAGGAGGTCGTTACCTGCTCCATGGACGGTACGGTGCGCCAGTGGTCCACCAACCGAGAGGAGGAGGAAACAAAGCGGTGCTTAAAGACGTCGAAGGTGGCCACCCCACTGCGGTGCCTTCTGGTGCATGATGGTACGTTTTACACGGGCGGTGATGATGGCTGCCTTCACGTCATTGAAGGATCGCGGCGGGTCTCGTGGGCGGGACACAGCGGCGTCCTCTCGTGCATCACCGTTGTCAGCGGCGACTCGCAGCACCTGATCACTGGCGGCTACGATAATCAAATTCGCGTCTGGGACACAAGGCTTGGCAAAACCATCCGATTGCTTCTGGGTCATCAGAATCACGTCAAGTGTCTGCGTGTTATTGGGGATGGAGAATTGCTCCTCTCGTTTGGATGCGATCTCACGATGAAGGTTTGGCGACTGCCGGAGTTTGACGAGGAAAACACAGAGGACGCCGCCCCCGTTGCTGCTGACACCAACCGCCACGCAACCGTCTCCTTCACGGACCCAAGAGAATCTGAAGGCGTGATGGAGCTTTCCACCTCCGCGGGAGCAGATGGTGGGGAAGAGTCGGGAGAGGTGAAAGACGGCGCCTTAGTCGGCAATGAGGAGAGTAACAATATTGTGGATGCCCTGGTCACCGATCATTACCATGCGGCAGTGGAAGCCACAAAGGCGGTGAGGTCTGCCATCAAGACACGCCCGGATCCACCGATTCGACAACTGCGGCCTGTGGGCACGATTGAAATTCCAGAGGTGCCTCACGTTGTGGCTGCCGTAAGTAACGAGGCGGTTTACTGCTACATCGGCGCCTCGGAAGGGTACGTGTTTGGCATTAATGTGCGTGCGTTGTCGCGTTCTGTGTTGCAGTTTCTTTCACGCAATTCAGCGAAAGTGCGGGCAGACATCCGTGAGACTCGCATGACACTGCAGTTGTCGATACGCGCCATTAAGAAACGATGCAAAAGGGCGGTTCAGGGAAAGAAACTGGAATTGCTGCGCGCGGCGAGAAATACTCGGGCTGCAAAGAAGGCAGAGGAGCGAAAGGAACGCGCAGCTGCACGTGCCGCTGCGCGGGCCGCACGTGCGGCCGCGCGTGTTGAGGAGGAAGAAGAAGATGAAGAGGAGGAGAATGTGGATGAGATGCCAGACACCGAGGAGGAAGAGGTGACCGAGGAAGAGGAGGAGGAAGAAGAGGAAGATCCTCTCGCCCTCTTAGATGAGGCGCAGCGTGAGGAGCTTACAACCTTTTGGGGGGAGCAAGAAAAGGAGCGCGACGACGAGATCGAATCCCTGCGCAGCGCGGCGAGAGAACGAAATAAGGCGGTTGAAAAAGTCGGGCTTGCCACGTATGACACCTCTCGCGATCAGTTCTTTTGCTTGAGTTTCACAAGCTACAAAAAGATTGGTGGTGAGGCGGTGCTCGGGTTAGTGGCGTTGCCAGGTGGTAGCTGCTGCGCCGCCCAGGCGGACCGCGTCAAATCTGTAGACACCACGCCCGGTATCACATACCTGTAGGAGGAGGTCTTCCAACATGGCGTATATGTTTGTATCCTACATGTGTGTGTGTGGTGGGGGTGGGGGTGGGGGTGGGGGACCGACAAGATGCTTTCTGCGGTGGGCAGTTAATGTAAAAAAGAGAAGGAAATAAGAACGAAATCCAAAGCGTATACATATATATATACATATATATGCATGGATACATGTATGAATGTACTAACAGATGTCCCCGTGGCCTGGGATTATTTATTGATTTCTTGTGACGAGCCTTTTGCAGTGCACCTGAGGCGTCATTGCCTTATTGTTATTGTTATTATTATTAAAGCGCGTGTTTTATTGCTCACTCATTTTCTGAAGGTCTTTGCGTGATTCAAGGCACACTCCTCAGCGATGTCGCACCACATTAAGATCCGCGATCTGCGCGAGAAGAGCAAGGATGACCTGATGAAGCAGCTTATGGAGTTCAAGAAGGAGCTCTCGCAGCTCCGCGTAGCGCAGCAGCTCAACAGCGCTGGCACCCGTCTCGGCCGCATTCGTCTGATCCGCAAGAGCATTGCCCGCATCCTCACCGTTCTGAACC